CCTTGAATGTCTCTGATTTGCTCCTTTTCATCTTTAAAAATCTCAGGTAGAAATTCATTCCTAAAACTTCCCATTTCCCCCACTCCCTCAACCTAAGAAAAGTCACACTCTCAAGAAAATGTTACTATTCTCTTCTGATGTTATTTCTGTACTTCATATATGTTCTATAAATGCATATGTCTCCTTATGTACATTCTGCCCCGTCACTTTCCACAGTTTACTACTTATAATATCTTCCACATCTTCCCTGTGACTTCAGTGGACTGTAAGTTTCTTAGGAGTTCTGACATTCATTTTTGATTTCACAACAACTAACACAATATGTGGCATACAGTGAGCACCATATGTGTATTCATCAATCTGAATTGGATTTAATTTGATGACTATTAGATTGGATTCAATGACAACGACACTAACCAAACTACCCACCCAAATCTGGCTGTGTGACTGCTGCATTCCAGTTTAACTCTTAAGACTTTATATCATTGTGGTATCAAACGCCCTTTCTAGCACAGTATTTTCAATTACTTATAATTTCTTTCCCTATAACTGACCCCACCCCCAATTATAGATGATCTTTAAACACTTGTTGCCATATTAGAAAGGGCTACTGTTTTTCTTGTAATACTATAAATAAGGAGTCTAAATTGGGTCCTTCAACTTATTAATGCATGAAACAATTTTTAAAAATGAATTTGAAGCTATCAAATCTATCTTCACATGAAACCTTCTGCAGTTGTATTGTCAATCATAATTTCCCACATATATAAAGGAATACATACACACCAATATATCTATCCCTAAAATATATAGAATAGATATTAACTGAAACACATATTCTAATTCCTTAAAACTATTTTTGATCCTCATATTCTGAGGCCTGTTGGCCAGGTCCTTATTGACTGTGTTACTGAATAATTTGTCCATTTCTGCTCATATTTTCTGCTTCTGAGTGCTTCACCATATTTCATCCTGAGATGCTTTTACCATATGTTTAGTACTACTCATCTCTGTTTCACCTTAATTAGACTCAATGTCTACTGTATTCTTAGCTGGAAATGATCTCCTTTTTATCCCTTCAAGCCTACTTTAGATCTGAATCTTCCAACAATGAAATGCCCAGAAATGCCTGAAATACAGTATATCATCTAGGCAGGACTATCCAGACTTCCCATTAGCTGTCAAGTTTAATATATTTTGCCTTCTACAAATCCATCCCTGGCGCCTTCTGCCGTGAAAGTATCCAATGTGAATAGGTGTTAATCTCCATCATTTAAAAATCTTCCCCCATTTGCTCCATCAGAGAATATAAAATGTAGCATCTTTTCCCCCAGACTTTCCCAGCATGTTTCCTTTGTTCAATCTAAAATCAGGCAATTTAAATGACAGGTGCAGTTGATTTAAAGTGTGCTGACTCCCCTCCCCACCGCTAATTCCAGATTCTATCTCCCTTAAATCATCATTCCAATGAGGAATGGGGAGAAACAGACAAACATTACTGAAAATCGCTAAGGCAAGTTTCTCACCAGGTTGCCTATATCATGAGATGATCTTGACAAAGTCCAAAAGCCACCAGGGGTCTATTCGAAATAGTTGCAAGGGTCGAGCCCTCACAATTACCAGAAATTCAAGCTGCCTTATGTATGTGTGGAAAAGATGTGTAACCTACTGGCTCTCCAAAGCACCTTCAGGAAAACATCCTGTTCACTCCGATGATATCTGTATTTCAGCAAATGTCAGCAAGTCCACATACTTGGGCAGAACAAATGTTATTTTTCCTTGCATTACTGTCCAAAGAGGAATTATGCGATTCTGTAGATTATCACATGGAGTTCTCATTGGCGTGTGGCCAAGGCCTAATAGTCTTCTCCAGAGGAGGCAAATTGTGACTTAGGTTCACTTCTGGCAAATTGCTTTTTGTATTCGATTTAATTTTGTTTTCATGATTTTTCCTGAGGGCTCATCCGGCTTCGCTCAACTAACTGGTTTAACAGAGAAGTTTAAGTTCAGAAAAACCTCAGTATTTCCAAGATTTCAGAATGCCTTTTTATTGAATTCCTGATTAGGACAAGTGAGAATAACAAATGTTTTATACAGATGTTCAATTCTCCAACATAGATATGGTTTAGAAAAAGGGGGGAAATCACAATAAGTTATATTGAACATAATTTTACTCAAATTCAGGAGCTGAGTGGGGTGGGGGAGAAGGGGAAGGAAGAGAACAAGGAAGGAGTTTTTCACTTAAAATGAAAGTTAGATTCTCTGAACAGTGACTTCCTTAAAAGTACATTGAACAGTTCATGAGTAGCAATAATAAGGCAACAAAGAAAATTAAAGATACGTATTCAAAAGAAGAGACATAGAGCCAGGACTCAAAATATCTAGAAACTTGTTCTCCTTTCACACTAACCAGCTGGAACAGTCAGCTATGATTAAGCTCAAGATACCAGACTGACTTCATTAATGAAACATTATTATTGGAATAATATGGTTTATAGATTTTAATGATAAACTTGGGGGATGCGATAGTTGCCATTAGATTCAGGTGCATAGAACACATGTACAGAAACAAAAATTGAAGTAGTTGAAATGAGGTAGAAATGTATATTTTCTTTACATAAAAGAATTCTGGACCTAGGTAGTCCAGTATGGAGGGAACAATTGCCTACTCACCAAGAACCCAAGCTCTCCCTATCTTTTCACTCTACAATACTATTACTTGTCTTCAATTTTTAATGTTGCTTCATGTTCCAAAATGGCTGCTGAAGCTACAGCCTTTATGTCTGCTTTCCAGGGAGAAAGAAGAGGGAAAAACAAGTAGCTGAATCAGCACTCCTTGTAGAACCTTCCTAGCAGAAACACCCTACCAGCTAGATACATGGAGCATGGAAAACGTAGTCTTTTAGCTAGACATTCTAACCAAAATATTGATGGAAATACATCCTAATCAAAATGTTGGTTCAGGAAAATGTCTATTGATTAGGCAGCTTCAGTCCCTGTCACGTGAGTAAGGTAGTCTTTTTACAAAACCCGATAGGGGATGCTTTGAAGTCTGTTGGCCTCTTTCAATCATTCTCTTTATCTTATATAAATAGTTTCTAAATGCAAATACTTACTTGGTTCTTTTTATTTCATGATAAAATCATCCTATGAACAAGTAAAATGTCATGCAAGATGACATATTGCTGGCTTCTCACAAAATGTTAGTGCTACCCTCAGCATGGGTAGTGAGATTGAATGGACACTGGAAAGGCTCATCAGACCAAAACCACCCACAATATATTGCATAAATTGTCCGTCGTAAAAGTTATTGCTTCTCCATCAAGATAACATGCTTTTTAAAAATCTCACTTAAAGTATGTGTTAACCACTATGCCATTCAATTCCATTAATCCGTTTCTGTGTATTAGTTTATCAAATTAAATATTGTCATGGAAAACATAGAACAAGGTTCTGAAGGAATAGAAACAAGTTAGGTACATTTCCAAGAGGTAGGTGGGAGAGAAGTTGGAGGCAGGGTATAAAACGAGGGTGAATTTGGGAGATCCACCTAGCAAGACAGAGCATGTAATAAGCATTTCATTTCTGAATAAATGCATGAATGAAATAAAAATACATGCACAGAATAACATCTCAACAAACCTTTCTGGTTGACTATCAGATAAATACATGAAGAGACAGATGAATGTATGAATAAATCCTCAAAGGTGAATTTTATCAATGATGAATCTTTTAAATCATGCCACTATCCTTGCTGGTATGTGTGCTCCCTATAGCCATCCTTGGGAGTTGCTGATTATGCTAAATATTAGAGCAACAATTACAAAAAGAACACTGAGAGCCATAGATCACATGCCAAACCAAGTGCTGGAAGCACCAATGAGGCAGGCCAGAGGAGTAACCACTGGGTTATTACTATCAGCTTTAACATGTAATTCTTTGATCCAGCACCAAAACAGACGCTAAAAATATAAACACTCAGCATAAGACTGATAGACAAAGACTTTCCTCTCTTGACTAGGATCACATGGGTGTATTCAACCTAATTATTCACTATACTTCCTTTTCTGGTCTGGAGGCTGCATGGTATAGTAGTTAAACACATTAGTTATAGCTTCAGGAAAATTTGAATTCAAATGCTACATCTCCACTTATTAGTCGCACAGCCTTGAGCAAGTTCCTTAACTGTTTTACATCTAAGTTCCCCCATCTTTAAAATGGGAGGAATGCTACTGCCTACCTTATAAGTAAGTGTGAGGATTAGGTGAGGACTCAGTGATATCAGCCACAGTTATGAGTCATTATGTGTTGGGGTTATGAGGGTCTGTATTAGTCAGAGTTCTTCTGAGAAACAGAACCATTACGAGAAATATATCAGAGATAGATTTATGTCAAGGAATTAGCTTATGCAGCTGTTGGGGCTACCCAGTCTATATCCACAGGGCAAGCTGGCAGGCTGGAAATTCAGTTGTGTTGGTGTTGAAGTCTTGAGTCTATAGGCTGGAAACTCAGGCAGGGTTTGAGTGTTACAGTCTTGAGTCAGAATTGCTGCTTCCTTGGGAAATCTCCGTCTTTGCTCTGAAAGCCTTCAACTGATTGAATGAGGCCCACCCACACTATGGACACAAATCTGTTCTACTTAAAGTCAACTGATTTATATGTTAATCACATCTAAAAATACTTTCATAGCAACATATAAACTGGCCTTTGATGAAACAACTAGGTGCCATAACCTCACCAATTTGACACATAAAATTAACCCCCATAGGGACACAATAAAAATGTCTGTCCACACCCAAATTCTTCCCAGAGAAACAAAACACAAGAGTTACAGATTGGAGAGTGCAACTCTAACCTGTATGACAGATAAAGGCTAGGATGGAGCTGTGGTTTATATTTGCAGGTAAGTGGATTCAATGGTTTCAGATACTCCTACTCTCAACCCTGTGCCAGTTAGGTTAATGCAAACAACCCAGGGAGTGGTGCCAGATAAGATTTACAGCATGGAGAAGCTGGGAAGAACTCACATTTCTGCTGATGAGTTAATACCTGAGAAAACAAAAAGGAAGAGCTAGTTTTTCTTCTGAAGTTTTCCAGCTAGATAAGTTTCTCCTTGCTAAGGTAGAGACAGTGGTGCCCCGACTTTCTGTTGATTGCACTCTCACGGAAAGGAACTATCATGAGCCAAGAAGAAACATTTCCCTCAATATCCTCCTCTCCTCACTATCGCTGTTGTTTTTATTACCAGCAGGCTGTAGTGTTTATACTTCTTGTTAGAACCCTCAAAGACTTAGCCTCTGAAATTGAAACTCTGGAGGGTTATGAGGCTTCCAAAACCTAAGGAAGTTTTCCAAGACATATCAAGAGAAATGCAATCCTATATTCTACCAACATCATATTTCCTCTATCCTAGAAATCACCCTCCTTCCTCATCCCCCAAAAAACTTCAGTTGAAAACCAGAACCAGGCCTAGTGTGGATATCCTGACATCTCTAAAACAAGTCCCCCATCACATGGCAAAACTGCTCTGTCCCTCACAAAAGTCCTGGGGGCCTCTGCCAGCTTGATGCTGAAGAAGCCTGACATACCCCAGGTAGCAGACACCTGGGATTTCTTAGGGTCTCTTGGGGTCCCGTTTAACTGTCCTTTTAAAGAGTGCACCTTGCCCTCAACTGTAAGGAAGTCTGAGAGCAGAAAACAGATGTGCTGACCTCACCTCTCACCTCTCTCCCCTTGGCCTGGAATCCAGTGTTGCTCACTTCCTATTCACTAGAAGCAGCTTGCCTGGGCAGGACTGGGTCATACTTCATTTCAGTCAGCACAGGACAGTGGAAAGTTGCCTGCAAAAGGCAGATGAAAAATTAAAGTGATCTTTGGCCAACAGTTTCGTTCAAAATGCAAATCTACTCAGCAGCGTAGGAACAGCATGGCATGGCCCCTATGTGGGAGATTAGAATGCAGCCTTTCAGAACCACAGCTCTTTATTCCAAAGCCAGCAGAAACTGGCTAAGGCTTGGCACTTATCTTTTTGCCCTAACGCCAGTTGGGGAATTCCTGAATGCGTCCCTAAAATTCCAGGTGATTGGGAAAACCTGCCGGAGTCTAAGTACCACTATTTGCACCCAGCCCTACCTGATTTGAAGGGCTGTATGGAACCGGGAACCAGGAAGAGAATGTGGGCTTTTGAGCCAGTACCCTAACTTACCCGCCCTGAAATCTTCAGCTAATTATTTTATTTCTCTGAGTGAAACCTTTCTAGGCCACATCTTGAGGGGACTCTTAAGCTGATGTTTTAGAGCTAACATTTCCCCTGGCAGGAGAAATTACACGTGTATTAGTCTGTTTTCACACTACTGATAAAGATATACCTGAGACTGGGAAGAAAAAGAGGTTTAATTGGACTCACAGTTCCACATGGCTGGGGAGGCCTCAAAATCATGGCAGGAGGTAAAAGGCACTTCTTACGTGCTGGCAGCAAGGGAGAATGAAGAAGCAAAAGCAGAAACTCTTGATAAACCTGTCATATTTGTGAGACTTATTCACTATCATGAGAACAGCATGGGAAAGACCAGATCCCATGATTCAGTTACCTCCTCTTAGGTCCCTCCCACAACCCATGAGAATTCTGGGAGATAAAATTCAGGTTGAGATTTGAATGGGAACACAGCCAAACCATGCCGTTCAGTCCCTGGCCCCTCCAAATCTCATGTCCTCACATCTCAAAACCAATCATGCCTTCCCAACAGTCCCCCAAAGTCGTAATGCATTTCATCTTTAACACAAAAATCCACATTCCAGAGTCTCATCTGAGATAATTCAGTTCTCCTCCAACTATGAGCCTGTAAAATCAAAAAAAAAAAGTTAGTTACTCCCTAGATACAATGGGAGTACAGGTATTGGGTAAATAAGGCCATTCCAAATGGGAGAAAATTGCCAAAACAAAGGGGTTACAGGGCCCGTGCAAGTCCAAAATCCAGCGAGGCAGTCAAACTTTAAAGCTCCAAAATGATCTTCTTTGACTCCAGGTCAGACGTCCGGGTCACACTGGCACAAGAGGTGGGTTCCCATGGTCTTGGGCAGCTCCGCCCCCGTGGCTTTGCAGGGTACAGCCTCCCTCCCAGCTGCTTTCACTGGATGGCCTTGAGAGTCTGCGGCTTTTCGAGTGCACGGTGCAAGCCGTCAGTGGATCTACCATTCTGGAGTCTGGAGGACGGTGGCCCTCTTCTCATAGCTCACCTAGGCAGTGCCCCAGTAGGGACTCTGTGTGTGGTCTCAGATCCCACATTTCCCTTCCGCACTGCCCTAGCAGAAGTTCTCCTTCTGAGATCACCTCCGCCTGGACCTTACTGTCCATATCCCTATCAGCATTTTGGGCAAAAACCATTCAACAAGTCTCCAAGAGGTTCCAAACTTCCCCACATTTTCCTGTCTTCTTCTGAGTCCTCCAAACTGTTAGAGCCTCTGCCTGTTACCCAGTTCCAAAGTTGCTTCCACATTTTCAGAAATCTTTTCAGCAACGCCCCACTCTACTGGTACCAATTTACTGTATTAGTCCATTTTCATGCTGCTGATACAAAGATACCTTACACTGGGAAGAAAGAGAGGTTTAATTGGACTTACAGTTCCACATGGCTGGAGAGACCTCAGAATCACAGAGGGAGGTGAAAGACACTTCTTACATGGTGGCAGCAAGAGAGAACAAGGAAGAAGCAAAAGCAGAAACTGCTGATAAACCCATCAGATCTTGCGAGACTTATTCACTATCATGAGAATAGCGCAGGAAAGACCAACTCCCGTTATTCAGTTACCTTCTTCTAGGTCCCTCCCACAACCCATGAGAATTCTGGGAGATACAATTCAAGTTGAGATTTGAATGGGGACACAGCCATACCATGTTAATATGCTATAGTAGAAAAAGCCAGTTAGGTCTGGTTTAAAGGTAATATTCGCCATGTGTTCCTTGTGACCTTGGACAATTGCTTAACATCTCTGGGCCTCACTTTCCCCATCTATAAAAAGGGAACAAGCAAAACCATCTCTCAGAGTAGTGTCAGGAGAATTAAATAAAATAACAAAGCTCTTGGTAGTCTTCCAGAAAGTGTGCTTGCTTGTCCTTTGGTGTCTTTCTTAAAGAACTTTGATATTTGGAGAACTGAGATTCAAGTTTCAGGTACAGATAACCAATCTTTTCTTGATTTTTTTTTCTTTTGGCCTGTAGTGTCTTCTGTTTCTCTTATGCTTGTCTGGGATATTTGTGGCAATAGTAACCTGCTTGATTGCTTGATTCCCTAGGATCAATTTGTTCATTGGGTTCTTAGGGAAGGATTTGAGTAGATAAGACAAAATGTTCCCCTCATTTTTGCCTAAGCAGCTTGGCACTGATGAGTACTGGCAGCAGCTCCCTGAACTGTGTTATAAATTTCTGTCTGCTGCGCAACGTACCACGTGGATCAAATACCAGCAGAGCTGCCAAATTCTTAGAATAGAGTTCATCCTCCTCAGAAAACACCAGGAAGGCTTTTAGTCTCAACCACAGAGAGTCTTATACCTAAGAAAATTGTAAAGTAAAAACATTTTGAGACAGAACCAGGCTCCAACAAATGATAGTAATATTGGTTAGCAGAGTTGACGAGACTAATGAGATCAGCGGGATTATTTTCTTTATAAAAGGGATCCCAGAGAGCTTTCCAGACCTCTTTGGACTAGAATTGTTAGTCATATTTTTTTTAACTTTTTAAAAGAAATGAATTTGTGTATCTGCATTCTACATTTTTTTTTTTTTTTTTTTTTTTGAGATGTAGTCTTGCTCTTTTGCCAGGCTGGAGTGCAGTGGCACGATCTTGGCTCACTGTGACCTCCATCTCCCGGATTCAAGTGATTCCCCTGCCTCAGCCTCCTGAGTAGCTGGCACTACTGGCATGTACCACCACACCCAGCTAATTTTTTTTGTATTTTAGTAAAGACGGGGTTTCACCATGGCCAGGATGATCTCGATCTCCTGACCTCCTGCCTTGGCCTCTGAATGTGCTGAAATTACAGGCATGAGCCACCGTGCTTGGCCTCTACTTCATATTTTAAAAATACTAGTATGCCATATTTATCAGATGCTTAATTTTTATGAGGTGCTTTTCATACAAAACCTAATTGAATCATAATGATTTTAAGACACAGGGATAGTAAGTGTTCATTTTTAAGATCAGTAAATTAAGACACAGAAAATTTGATGACTTCCCCAAAGTCTTATAGCTACATGTAAACCCATTCTTATAACTACTACAATGTAGCACCTTCAAAAATAGCAACTACCACTGATGGAGATGCAGTGTTGGGCTTTATATCTACAGTACTCTCTGAGTTCATTTAATGTAATTATCTCTAAAAACTCAGAAGATGATGCAATTGACTGAATGTCTATGTCTCCTCCAAATTCGTATGTTGAAACTCTAACCTCCATGAGATGGTATGAGGAGATGGAGCCTTTGGGAGGAGATGAGGTCACAAGGGTGGGGCCTTCATGACTGAGATTAGTTACCTTATAAAAGAGACCCCAGGGAGCTTTTTGACCCTCTTTCTTCAAAAGAGGAATACAATGGGAAGTTGGCAGTCTGTAACGCGGAAGAGGGCCCTTGCTAGAACTCAATCATGCTGGCACCCTGATCTCAGACTTCCAGCCTCCACAGCTGTGAGAAACTTCTGTCATCTACAAGTCACCCAGCTTATAGTACTTAGTGAGTTTAGGCTGCTATGCTGACAAAGACAGCTGATATTAGAACTAAAAGTTATAGATAAGAAAACTGAGACTCAAATATACAGAGCATTTGCCCAATATCACACAGTGAGAAATCTGGGACTCCAATCCAGGCCAGATGAGTCCAGGCTTCTATCTCCACAGAACATCCTGAACTTCACATGGACTTTGCTGCTTCCATGTTCCTCACACACTGAGTGCTTTTTTTTTTTTTTTAACTGTAGATAAGGTGTTCACAGGTGACCCAAGGCAATCTCATACATGCAGGAATTACATTCCACCACTCAGTTTCCACAAGGCTGGCAAAAGGAATCAGTAGTTCTCACTAAGTATTCCTCAGCCTCTGCCTTCTGCACACATGATAGAGTCGCACCTCCAAGCCCTTAATGTTGGATGAGGCCATGTGACTGGTAGTGACCAACGCCCTCCAAGCACATGCAACATGTGTCACTTTGGGGCCCAAGCATTTGTCAGTTTCATACCATCTGGGGCTGTTGACAGCAGCATTTGAGATGGCAGCTGCTCCATCAGTCTGGATCCCCGAATGACTATAACAGCAATCCTGATGGGCATGTTTCATGAGGAAGAATTAAATGTCTGTTATTTTAAACTACTGTAATTTGGGAGTTGTGTTAGTCGGTTCTCACACTGCTATAAAGAAACACCTGAGCCTGGGTAGTTTGTAAAGGAAAGAGGCTTAATTGACTCAGAATTCCACATGGCTGGGGAGACCTCAGGAAACTAACAGTCATGGCAGAAGCTGAAAGAGAAGCAAGAACCTTCTTCACATAGTGACAACAGAGAGAAGAGCCAGCAAGAGCAGGGAAAATTGCCTTCTAAAACTATCCGATCTCATGAGACTCATTAGCATGAGAACAGCAGGGGGAAACTGCGTCCATGATCCAATCACCTCCCTCTCACCACATGGGATTACAGTTCCCTCCCTCAACACCTGGGGATTACAATTCAAGATGAGATTTGGGTAGGGATGTAGAGCCAGATAATATCAAGGTTATTTTTAATATAAACTACAAACAAAGCCATCTACCCTAACTGACACAAAACCAGAGCCAAAGTAGCCTTGTAA